TCAAGTTCTAACATGCACTGTCAAAGTGGTACTTTCCTTTTTGCAGCCCTTGCTTGATGAGGGAAAGACCCCTTCTACCCTGAAAGTTTACGGGCAGCTCTGGCTAGCCGCTTGACCCAACCAGAGCGCTCTTCTTTGGGCTTCCATAGCTGGTAACCGACTTTCTAAAGAAGCGAAGAGATTGCGTCCACCGTGATCACTTAGTGCACCACTCTGAGGCCTTGGTGCTGGATTTCCTGTGTCACACACCCTTTAAACCTCTGGATCAGGCTGCTCTTAAGCAGTGTTCATTAAAGACAGCAGTTTTACTTTCTATTTATATGGCTAAGCGTGTCTGTGAGCTACGAGCACTTTTAATTAGCCCTATATGACTGCAGCGGGGCCTGGATAATGCACTTTTTATGTTGTGACCTATCCTGGCCTTCTTACCCAAAATTCTCTATGCTGCATTTATTAATGAGTTCATCAGCCTAGTAGCTTTCATGGACCAGTCTGATTCCATATGGTACCAACTGTGTTCAGTTCGGGCTCTGAGGACGGTGTCAGTGCTACATCTGCGCTACAAAGAACGGATCAGTTGTTTGTATGCTTCTCTGAGTCAAGATGGGGTTTGCCGCACTCTAAGTAGCGGCTTTCCCAGTGGCTTATGGAAATGATCAAGTTAGAGTATGAGGCTGTCAGCTGTTCCCTGCCCACACTGGAAGAAAGAAAAGACCAGGTTCCAAAGGAAGACTGCAGTATGACTCAAGTATATATAAGCTTGACTACATCACATGCTGGTGTCACAACGTGCCTGTTTGGCATACTTTCTCGGCCTGCAGCTGGCAGGCAGAGAAAGTAGGCTACAAATTCTTTTCTTTTGAAGTTACTTTTCTTAATAAAAGTGATCAAGGAACATATAAGAATTCCTTTTCACTAATTACAATCTATTGGCCGCCAGGGCCGTATTCTCAGTTGTTACAGGAATTCTCGGACTTTCTATCAAGTTTAATAATGTTTTCAAATAAAGCAATAATTGTCGGAGATTTTAATATCCACTTCGACAAACCTCAAGATGCACTAAGTAAGGCATTTGTATCTATCTTAGACTCTGTAGGTTTCACTCAAAATATAAAGGGGCCCACTCATTATTGCAGCCACACTTTAGACTTATTTTGACCTTTGGTGTAAACATAAATAACTTAGCCATTCTCCCTCAGAGCACAGCAGTCTCAGATCATTACTTAATCTCATATGAAATTCGCTTTAGTGGTAATGTACGTTCATCACCATGCTATCGTGTTAAGCGGACTATAACTTCCTCCACAGCTGGTAGCTTTATCAGAAACTTCCCACAATTATCAGCTTCTATCAGCTGTCCATCTAATCCTAGTGCCAAGTGCTTAGAGGATGCTTTTCAATCTACTCTAGATAATGTGGCTCCATTAAAAAGTAAAATAATAAGGCAGAAATAAATGTCCCCTATGGTATAATGATCATAGTCAAGCTTTACAACAGACTGTCAGACAACTAGAGCGAAAATGGCGCCTGACTAAACTAGAAGTGTTCCAGTCCGCCTGGAGGGAGAGCCTTACAGATTATAGAAAAGCACTTACTGCAGCACGCTCAACCTATCTCTCCTCTCTCATAGAAAACAATAAGAATAATCCTATATTATTATTTAGCACAATTTCTAAATTAAATAAGAACCAAACAGTTACTGATCTAGAGATGCCATTAGCCTATAGTAGCAATGATTTTATGAATTTCTTTAGTGATAAAAATAAAAAAATTAGGCAGAAAATTCAGAATGCACAGTTAAACTCTACAAACTTGCTGCCTTATAATGCCAGTCAAGATCTTGAGAATATTGTAACTACTGCAGAGAAGCTGGAATCGTTTACCTTACTTCAACAAAATGAACTAGTTAAAATGGTTTCCAAAAATCTTCTACTTGTATGTTAGATCCGATTCCTATAGGTTTACTAACCAAGCCTCTCTTAGCCTTGGCTATATCCCAAAAACTCTTAAACTAGCAGTAATTAGACGTCTGATTAAGAAAGCTAACCTTGATCCCTGCGAAATATCAAATTATAGACCTCTCTCAAATCTCCCCTTTATATCAAAGATCTTGGAAAAAGTTGTGGCAAAACAATTAAGTTCCTACTTGCATAGGAATCTTATACATGAAAAATGTCAGTCTGGTTTTAGGCCACATCATAGTACAGAGACAGCACTAGTGAAAATTGTAAACGATCTCTTATTATTCTCTGACCAAGGAAATGTGTCTTTGCTAGTCCTCCTTAATCTTAGTGTGGCATTTGACAAGATAGACCACTCTATAATACTAGACAGACTAGAAAACCTTGTAGGGGTAACAGGAATAGCTCTTTCCTGGTTCAGATCTTACCTCACTGATCGCTATCAGTTTGTAAATGTAAATGGTGAATCATTTGTCCTCGCAAAAGTAAAGTATGGTGTTCCACAAGGCTCTGTTTTTGGACCTATATTATTCACATTATATATGCTACCACTGGGCACCATTATCAGTGAACACGGCATCAATTTCCGCTGCTATGCCGATGACACACATTTATACATATCAAGCAAACCAGATGATAAAATTCAACTTAGCAAGATTGAGGACTGTATAAAAGACTGAATGTTGAGTAACTTTTTCCTACTTAACTCAGATAAAACAGAGGTTCTGCTTCTTGGTCCAAAAGCTGCTAGAATCAAACTGTCTAAATTAACAATTAGTTTCTGAGTTGCGTCAGGTTCATCTGTAAAAAATCTTGGTGTCACAACAGATCCCGATCTGTCCTTTGACGCACTACGTTTTACTAGAATAGCCTTCCTGCATCTCCGCAATATTGCTAAATTAAGAAATGCATTATCTCTACAGGATGCAGAAAAGCTAGTTCATGCATTCCTCAAGGCTGGATTACTGTAATGCCCTGCTGTCTGGATGTTCCAGCAAAAGCCTTGACAAGCTTCAGTTAGTCCAGAACGCTGCAGCCAGATTCCTCACAAGAACCAGAAAGTTTGACCATATCAGCCCAGTTTTATCAAACCTACACTGGTTGTCAGTTAAATTTCGCATTGATTACAAAATTCTTTTACCGACATATAAAGCTCTAAATGGACTCGCCCCTCAGTACCTGAGTGAACTTCTCTCTTCCTACAAACCATCGCGCCACTTTGATCACAAGGTGCTGGCTTACTATTAGTACCTAGAATTAATAAAGCTACATCAGGGGGAAGAGCCTTCTCAAACAAAGCCCTCCAACTTCGGAATAATCTTCCAGTCAGTGTTCGGGACTCAGACACAGCCTCAGTCTTTAAGTCTAGGCTAAAAACCTACTTGTTTAGTCAAGACTTTGGTAATTAGTTTTCCTTGTTAGATAAAATGTGCATATCTGGTGGTTCATGGACATAGAGTATTATGGTAAACTGGGAGTGTTGGTGCTGTCGTCCCGCTGCTCTCACACGTTCACTCAAGTTTGCTGACAGTGGACCGGAGGGTTGCTGACATCTCAGGGAGCCCTCATGTCTCTGTTACCTTTCTGGTTTCTCCCTTTTAGTTAGGCTGTAATAACTAGACCTGCCGGAGCCTGTGCTGCAGTCTGTTAATACTGTAATCTGTGATCAGTCACTCTTTACAGAACTAACTCTCTGTGTGTTTTCCTTTTCTTTGCCGAGTTGAACAACTCCCCATCCTGTGCGGTCTGATGCTGTGCTTCTTCTGCCTTGATCGGGTGCCCACTGCTTGCCAGCCTTCTAGACTGGTTTGACCACCATTGAGCTTCATGCTGTACAACACTGTGCAAACCTCACCCTCATTAACTGACCCTCCTGATGCTGCTGCTGCTGCTGCTGCATAAACTCAAACTATCTAATCAACCATTGCTCTGCCTGAGGAGGATGGGTTCCCCTTTTGAGTCTTGATTCCTCTCAAGGTTTTTCCTTGCCACTGTTGCCATTGGCTTGCTCATGTGGGCTTGGACCTGAATTTTTCTGTAAAGCTGCTTTGTGACAACACCTGTTGTAAAAAGCGCTATATAAATAAACTTTGACTTGACTTGACTTGACTTTACTTGACTTGTGTGTGCGTGTGTGTGTGTGAGAGAGAGAGTGAGAGTGATGGCCCAAATGTATGGTAGGAATGCATTTTTTATTTTATTTTATTTTATTTACTAGTTGTAAAATGTTTGTCAGGTACTGTGCACTTATGTAACCAAAACCAAATTCCTAGTATGTGTAAGCATACCTGGCCAATAAAGCTTGATTTTGATTCTAATGTAAAATAAAGAAAGCTAGTCTATAGAAGAGTAATATTTGTTACTTCTAGACCAAGACAGCATCAGGAAACATAATGCAATCATTTCTGTTTTCCAAGCGCGCATGCATGGCTCCTCCTGAACAAAAGCCTACCCGAGGGCGAATTCTATAACTAATCATGGCCAGTAATTCTGGTACAATACAGTTTTAAGAGCTGCATGTGTAAATGACATAAGTCCTAAGCATTATCTGTAAAGGTACCCTAATAATGTCCCAAGTTTTGGGTGTAAGAGGCTTACATAAACACCAATCACCATTACCCTGTCTTGTCCTTTTTAACTCAAGTTCTTTGGTCAAAAAGAATGATAAGTTGGATTTCATTATCCAAACAAGATCAGACTTTGCTGACTGCTTGATGATGTGTTTCACTGAGACTGAGCCTTACCTCGATTTGCTCACTATATCCTTGTATACTCCTATCTGAGCTTACAACCACAACATTAAGCAGATTTAGAACAGATATCTGAAATTCATTCCATAACTAAGGTAACAAAGGTATAGGGATCTCTGAGCTTATTATATTACATTTGGTTAGACCCATTTCATAATGTCAAGAAGGTTGTTATGTAATGCCTGTGTCTATAATAAGGTCATAATAGTGCCCTAACCCAAGCCAGGTATTTGGATGGCATGATAATCCAAAATATCATCATGCACATTAACTGTGTCACAGTTCTTACCTGGTGCATTGCAGTGAGGCCATCTTCATTACAAAGATCTGGGTTAACACTGTTCTTTAGTAGGTATCTCACTATGAGAGAGAGAGAGAGAGAGAGAGAGAGAGAGAGAGAGAGAGAGAGAGAGAGAGAGAAAAAAAGAGAAGTGATTTTTCATGTGCTGGCTGTTAGTCAAAAAAGAATGATGTTTAATATAAAAACAGAAAAAAATGACAAATGCATATAAATTGGGCATATTATTACTCTATTACAATATGCTATATTTTTATTGCAATATTTTTAAATTGATTTTCTTCAGTTAGTTCTAAATGCACCAGAGACCTGCCCATGCATGTTATAGTGATAGTTTCAAAAAGTTTACCACTGCAGTTCTCATCGATTTATATGTTGCCATTTTAATGAGATAATGAGATTCTTTATAAATCTTTATATATATATATATATATAATATATATATATATATAATATATATATATATATATATATATATAAACAACAAAACAAAACCAATGAGAGAGAGAAAGCAAGAGAGAGAGAGAACGAGAACATATCTCACTAAACTCTGTTTAAAAAACTTCTTGGGTGGGGTAGCTTCATGCCAAAGTAGGGAGTGGACCAGAGACACTTCCAGAAAGATAAAAGATAAATCAACAAACAGAAGCAGGAAGTAGAACCCCACCCCATAACTTTGTCTTATCATAAGGAAGGGAGTGATAGTGAAGAAAATAAAGAGGTGAAAACCACACTATGGACAGCTCATGGAAACCATGCTGTTGGCTTCAGATGATGTATGAAAAAGTTATAAAGCCATCTAATTCTCACATGGACCGACAGTAACTATGGCCCTGTTATATTGTGTGTGGGTGCTAAATCATGGAGGAACAAAACTACATATCTTTCTATTTCAAGATACAGTTGCAGCAGAGGCAAGTGAGAAAGGTGTGTTTCTTACAACCACTTCCATTGTATGATTTTGCCATAAATATCTGTGGAGCAAAAACTTGCCAGTAAAAATTAGAGACAACCTAAAAAGGACATATAAAATAGATGATTAAAAACAAGTACATAAAGCAGAAACTGAGAAACCATAAGGGATGGAAACAGTCATATACTATATACATTACACATCACACAAAAGTATGTGGATACCCTTTCTAATTAGTGGGTTCAGCTATGTCAACCATTGCTAACAAGCACACCGCCATCTCCACAAACACTGGCAGTGCAAAGGGTTGTACTGAGGAGCTCACAACCTTAATCATGACACTGTCATAGGATACCTCCTTAGTACAAATTCAGTTGGTCAAATGTTTGCCCTGCTAAAGCTACTTTGTTCAACTGCAACTGCTGTTATGGTGAAGTGGAACAAAAAACTGCTGCAAAAAAAGGCCATACAACTTTATAGAACAGATTAGGTTTCCATGGCTGAAAAGCTGCACTTCAGCTTAAAATCAATATGTGCCATTGCACAATCTGGAAGTTTGACCGACAAATCTTGGTTTAGCAAACATCAGGAACATGCTACCTACGCGAATGCATGGTTTGGAACTGTTTTTCATGGTCCAGGGAAGGGAAATCCTAATGCTTCAGCATACGGTGCCAATCTAGAGAATCGCTTCCAACTTTGTGCCAAAAATCTGAGGAAGGCCCTTTCCTGTTTCAGCATGACAATACCCATGCACACAAAAAAATTATTTTGGTGTGAAACAAAATGACTGCCATTCATGAAGACCTAACTTCGACCTCATGCAACACTGTTGGGATGAACTGAAAAGCCAACTGTAAGACCTAATGTCCGTGCCTGACCTCACTAATGCTCTTGTGGTTCAATTCAGGATAAACAATGAAAGGTTTTTAAACTAGTTAGAAAATTTGAAAGACCATGATTATCAAATAGCAAGGGCTTCAATTTTTGACTCATTATTAGCAACATTGTATTAAGCAGCCCAACAGCAACCATGTAGAAACCAAACACCCATATGTTGTATATGTAACATAGCCACAACCACTTTCTAACATGCTCAGTTTTTTACCGACCAACCCGTACAAGTCACATAACTTAATTGAGCATATGGGGTGAGCGATATAGCGAAAAATATAATATCCTGATACCTGAAAAATGTTTATGATACACAATATGTATCACAATTTGATAAGTTTGATAAGTTGTAACTGACAAAAAACTTGTTAGGTGCCACAACTAAAAATACTATCAACATCTATAAGTGCAATAATCTTTATTCAATGTTTGCCAAATAAACAGGACTAATTATGCTCTCTTTGTAATCAAACATGAGATTGGTCAGTGTTCTATAAATGCTGACAATATTCAAGATACGTTCAGAAAAGCATATTGTGACAGAATTTGTCAGGATAATGATAAAAATTATTATATTGCCCACCCCTATTAGCATGTATACTAAAACGTTAAGTTTAGTTTTTAAATCTCCATATCTCTATTGGCAGAACAATCACAACTATGTTAAATCATTCATTGGATGTTAAGAACAGAATAATGTATACTGTCTGCTAAACTCTGTGAGCCTGCTGGGGTGAATCCTAGCGTTCCAGATGGATTCCAGACAAGATTAAAATTATCAATAAAAATCATCTTGGTTGAGAAGTAGGGTATGGCTGTATCAAACACCTAACATTTAAGTCTAAGTATGAACCTTAAGGGTTAGGTTTCTCTTAGCCAAGGTAATTTGTTAAAGGTGTTGTACAAATCCCTAAGATGTTGCTCTTAGCTAAAGGAAGATGGTGAGGGGTTTACTACAGTCATTGAGGTTTCACTGTAGTAAAATTCTATCGTGTCCATGACAGTATTCTCTTATTAATGCAACTTTTTACTATTAGCAACTAACCTAGTGAAATAACTGACAATGCTAAACTTTCACTGATGCTATTCCAAAGGTTTGCACTTTGGGGGGAAAAAAAAAAAAACAGGTCAAAAGAGAGGCATGCACAATTACACACATTGTATTAATAACGCAAGCAAAAATGTTCTAAACAATTTTTCAAATTCTAATATTTGAGTTTTTTTAATCTTCTTAGTAATATTCCTTAGTTTATTCCTCTTAGTCAACCAAAATTCATGAGATTAACATATGATTAATTTGTAGCATTTAAAAGGAGCTCTTACTGTAACATTCAATGTGCACTCTGTATACAGTTAGATATACTTGCATAGCTGTCTCTGCTAGCCAACAATCTTCATTTAGCCCACTTGAATAGCACAGTACCAATAACAGAGTACTACAGATAACTACTGAAGTAATGTTATGTGGACAGAAAAGGCAAAAAGAGATTTATGGCTTAAATGGGAGATGTTATGTTTGGCAAAATTGAACACTACATTCCAGCATAAGAACCTCATCCCAACACTGAAACATGGTGATGGCAGTATCACGGTTTGGGGATGTTTTGCTGCTATTGGACTAGAACAGCTTGCCATCATTTAATGGAACTATAATTTCTGGACTGTATCAGGTAACAGAAGGTGGGTCTTGCAGAAAGCAACACAAGCAGACAGCAGACACAAACACCAGTTAGCCTACAAAAATAGTTAAAGCAGAAAAAAGAGAACTTTCAAGCAGCGCTGTAAATAAGCTGCATGTCCTTTGCAAATGGCATGATATGTAAATAAGGTACTACTGGGCAGAAACTTGTTTACAGTTTAAAATTTCATAAACCTGACTCAGAGTAGTCAAACCTACACCCGTTTTTATTTTGAAGATTCTAAACGCAAAAAGTGCATAACTTTCCTACCTTCCTCCACGTCATTCCTTGCTGAGGCCTCCAATAATGCCACATTTGCTGCAAATGACACACGTTTATGACTCTCTGCTGCATTCCCATGGTTTACAATTCCACGTCGTTTGTCAGTCTTTCGCTTTCTGTTCTGCATCTCCTTTTCATAGATAGCCCATCGTTTCAGCTGCTGGGTACGCCGTTTCTGAGCTGCTCGCAGGCGTTCCAGGCTGGGCACCTTGTCCAACTGTTGCAATTCAGTCAACAGTTCAAGATGACTTGTCATGCTGACCTATAGACTGGTGGCCACAGTTGGAATGTTGAAAGAGGAAAATAAGAAAACCTTAGTGAGGGCTCCTCCAGCAGTTTTCCAGCAGGTTTTGCCCATCATACGTTACCTGCAGGAACAAAAGAAAAGAATAACTCGATGTTTTGCATCCTGGATGTATTTTAAATTTCACTGTCCATCAATGTCAGTGATTGTCCATCTATGTAATGAGATCAGATTAGATTTTTTCAGGCAGAGTGCCTTTCAGAATTATTAGTATGCTTGGACAGTAATGTACATTTAAACAAACAAGTATTGTCTGCAGAATTGTTGCAATAAACAATATAAGGAGCACATGTAAGCATAACAGATGCTTACCCTATAGCCTACGCTTTTCCTGATGGTAATGTCATTACCATGTTATTACTAACTATGCTAGTTTCTAATATTACTTAATAAATCATGAAAACAATATCCTGCACTGATGGCATTTAACACTGATAACATACAGTGGTTCTCCATGTTGTTTGATTGGAAACCAAAATACTGACAAATGTCTATAGTGTTAAAAAGTGTGTCACAATTTTCTAAATAGGTGCAATGGCACTTCAGTGCCCATTAAAATCAAAGATATATTTGCTGTTTCTTTTGTGCTTTTGCTCAATTGCACATACATTTACAGGAGTTTCCCCCCCTTCAAACACAAACTACTGGGAGATTATTATGATGAGCCACCTGGTCAGATTTACCAAGGCTGATAACAAATGCTGACTGTGCATTATTTAAAGCCTATATTTAAAGTACTGCACATAGATAAAAAGGCTGCTCAAAATCATGCAATTTCCAAAAGACTGTGTGCTCAGTAATATTAAACAGGGATTTTACAATATCACATTGTTTCCAAATGCACATCCCACTAGCCAAAAATGAACATTTCAAAACAAAAAATAGAAGCTAATTTCTTATTGAAATAATCACATACTTTCTCAAGGAGTAAAAATGCATTTTTTGAGTTAGTCATTACTCTGACTCACTACGTCAAAATAATGAGTAGAAATAAGTACTTACTTCAACCTAATGAGTCACATTTTGAACCTGAACCTGAAAAAAAAAAATCAACTTTTTTCTGCTACCTAGAAGAAACTAGGTTTCATACAAAAAATCTTGTGAGCAAAACACGTGGTTGTATTGCGCTGGTAATGTTATTTATGAAGATGCACCTGTTTTCATTTGCACAGAAGTTCTAAGTACATAAGCCGATAATTTGGCCACCCCTCACCAGCACAAAATGTTGGTAGCCTGTCGCTACTTAGCACATCTCTTAGCAAATCGGCCCTTTAGTCTCTACCGGAGAGAAGATCTTATGTAATGGGGTTTCATGTGAATCTACCCAGTTATACTACAATGACTGTACAAAGAGAATGGTTAAATAAGGTCAAAGTAATTAAAATAAAATTTTATTAAAAATACACATCTTGATACATGTGAAGAAGAATGAAAGGTCAATTATTTGCACAATATTGCCAGTTTAGTACCCTATTCACACAAAAGACTGAATAAAATTCAGTTAATTATTTCTATGCTCAACACAATATCCTGTTTTCTCCAGAGCATAGCTAGACGCTGCTTCCCACTTGCATTTGCCACTTGCTAGATCCTTCCATAAGTGATTAACTTAATTTAACAGAAGACAATACACAGCAGTCCACCTTAAAATGTGCAGCACACAAAAAAAAAATTCTCCACCATGTCCACAAATATATCGACTCATAACGGAAGTCTGTAAGCTCAGTTTTAGGAGCATTGACCAGTTTTTCACTTTCTGTTCCAGAACTGAAAATGCTGTTTTTGACCATTTTCTGCAGTAATTTTTTGGATCATCTGCAGGTGTCTTGATGTAGCACTGTAGCTTTTTGTTGACCAAAGCCTCATTAACACATATCTGCCTATTCTTGAAAATGTGTTTTTTTATTTCGTCCACACCAACAGTGTTTTCTAAAATATCTTTGCCCATACAAGAACGCAAAATGACCTGAAATTCCTCATAGGAGCATGCCAGCCCAATAGGTGGCAAGAACATCTCATAAAATTTGATGTCAAACACCTTAAGAGAGACACTGTGAGCATGTGTGCTATAAAAAATACAGTGCATGAAGCTGAAGCTGAGATTCTCTGACAAAGTGATGGCAGCATGTTACAATTACAATGTTTGACTTCACACAGGCCGGCTTCCCTTCATAATTCGATATCTCACACAGATCCAATTTCTGCCAGAAAAGCAAGCTTAAAAAAGCTTTAAAAACAGCAGTTAATATCAGGCAAAAAAGTGAAGTTATTTGGGCATTTCTCTATAACTTTAAGAATTAGGGTGCCAGCATTTTTTTGATTAGTCTGTTGCTACAGATTAATTGCTAAACTAAATAATAATCTCAAATGAGAAGAAATCTGTGTGCATATTAATTTGTCATAAGTACTGCATACGGCTGCAACTGTATATATATATATATATATATATATATATATATATATATATATATATATATATATATATATATATATATATATATACACACACACACACACACACACACACACACGTGTTTCCCTTTCATGACAATTAAAAAAAAGATTTTTTTCTTTTTTCTTCTGTCTTCTTCTTCTTGTTTATTACCTCTTGTATGATTACTGGAATCTATTGTTTATATTTTTGTTTTATTTATGCTTTTTAATGAAACTTAAAATAGCCCTGACTAGGCTGCTGAGATTGTTTAAACATCAGTGATGAGTGGTGCAGGAGAGCAGAATAAACGTTATGAAACAACTTAGGTTACCTTAACTTATGAAAACAGCTTTTTTGTCACTTCTTGTGAATGAGCAAGGGGTGACCACATTTTAGATTCAATACAGATTATTTTTTCTATACTGAAGTTTTTAAGCCCCTCAAAAAACTTTTTATGCCCAAACACATGCTAAAGTCAACTGTGTCTGTCTTATTGCCTAGCACAGATTTTTCTGCTCCAGATGGATGACTAACTAGCAATCAAGTTGTTGCTTATTATTCTTGGAAAGGTAAAAAAAGTATACTGATTTAAGTAAAATTCTTTGGTTGCAGCACGGATTAAAACAAATATCGTCTCATTTGAGAAATGAGGCTAACAGAACATCATTTGCCAAGAAGTGTTGCACTGTAATAATCAGATATTTTTTTAATCAGATTACGGAAAAAGTTGTTGCACCTGGAGTGTAATGTGTAAGATACATTTGCCCTTCAATCTCGCCTTGCATATGATACTACATCATCAAAGGTTTTTTGTTGTCAGTTTATCACAAAATGCAGTGAAAATGCTTGAAAAATTTCCTTCATAAATGCTATTATGTATTATCACTACAGTAGATAAGTAGTTAGATACAGGTGTGTGTGTGTGTGTATGTATGTATATACATACGTGTGTGTATATATATATATATATATATATATATATATATATATATATATATATATATATATATATATATATACACACATACACACACACACACACATATACATACATACATGGAAATTCAGCCTTAGGATTTTCTGAGGTATGATCTTACAGATGTTTAATACTGGGCTGTTTTTGAGAATGTTAAGAATGTTAAATATTGATCTTGTAAGAAATTTGTATCCAATACATAGTTTGAAACATAGTCATTTCATGTTTCAAACTATGTATTGGATACAAATTTCTTACAAGTTCAGTATTTAACATTCTTTAACATAAAACAATGCACTATGGGAGTTATGAATTTTGGCTTTTACACCCAAATACTCCACTTTATGTCCAGTTTCAAATTGTGCACACATGGCTGAATTCAAAGTTGTTCTTTGTTAGACATAGTGTGCACAGTACTAGCTGCAGTTGCCATTATTTTAAGACCCACACAGTGCACTTTGTAGAGAGAAGGGAGGCTTTTGAGATTCTGCCTAAAACAGTTCATGAAAATGTTGAATCATCTAACCTGAACACTTTGTGCTGATTCGCTGAACTGATTTGTTAGGTTCTGCTAGAGAACAGCACTGGTGCCAGAGCAGTTGATTTTAACCTAGCTTTTAGCTTGGTCAGACTGTTCTAGCCTCTGCACTAGTTTGACTTATTTTAATCTCTACTGAAACTGCCCCTCGTTCTACAGATATGATGGGATTCATCTCAACATGCTTGGTTCACAGATTTTAGGCCACAGTGTATTTTTATTCTGTTTTTCTGAACTCTGAATGACTCCTAAATGCCAGCAGTCTTTGCTCAAATATTCTAGTAATTAAGTAGTAGGCCAAGGATTAGATATTCATCCAAACACAAGAGAAATGCTATGCAAATAGGCATTTTAACGGTTTACAAATACAAATAATCTTGTCTATATTGAGCCTTCTCTGCCGCCTCTCTACTTCTAGTCTTTAAAATCTAAAACTGCAACTCTACAAAAGATGCCATAATTTTTCAAAAAGGAAAGGGCCTAGACATAATCCACCTAAACATTAGGAGCTTACTTCAAAAGAACAAAATGGATCAACTGAAAGTTCTGATCATACAGTCTGATCCAGATATTATACTACTAACAGAAATCTGACAGGCACTCCATATGAGCTGCCAATGTGGCTTTAAATAACGTCATTCCATATGTTACGGCTGTGCCTATATGTGTCTTGTTCTTTCTGTGTTTTTCTCTGTGTCTGTTTGTGTATCCCTCCATGTCACTAGGTGGAGCTGTCCCCCGAGAAGGCTGCCAGCGAAGCCCCTCCAGGAAGTCAATAAAAAGGCGGCAAAAATCCAGACACAGACAGAGAGACAGAGAGAGAGAGAGAGAGAGAGAGAGAGAGAGAGAGAGAGAAAGAAAATAAAATAAAAATAAATAAATAAAAAAAACACTTTTGTTTTGGGCTGTTTTGTTGGCTGTGTGCTGCGTGGATGTTTGCTGTTGCTTTGTGTGAGTCCTGAGTTCTGTGCGTTTAGCTAAGGTTTAGTCTCTGTTCATTGTGACTGTGCTGGAAGAGGGTAAGCGCCATTTTCTTTGTATATACCTTTTTCTCCTGTTTCTCATTTAAGTTAGGGAGTTAGGTTAGTTGCCTGTCTTTTGTTTGATTTTGGTTTG